CTACCGTGTCCTGAAATAGAGAGCGCTTGTTTAAGGAGCAGGTCATGTAAGGTACTATCAAAGGCCCTTCCACTGAGACCCGGGTCCCAGATATGGATATGCACACACACACACACACACACACACACACACACACACACAATGCATCAAGAGCTAACAATCTTTAACAAAATGTGAGGGGAGATTTGCTGAAATGTAAACCTCGCAATGCTATCGTGTCTATTTCAACTCATAGCAATCCTACACTCTAGTACAAGCCTACTATAATATAAGCCTACCCAACCCACTGCCTTCAAGTTGATTCTGAATCATAGCAACCCTTCATAGGGTTTTCGAGATTGGTCATGTGTCTCCCAGAGAGAAGCTGCTGGGTTTGAACTGTAGACCTTTCGGCTAGCAGCCCAACATTTCCATGACCTCTCCACCGTGGCTCCTTGATATAAACCTCACTGCCACCTACTTGTTTCCAATTGATAGCACCCTATAGGACAGAGTAGAACTTCCCCTGAGGGTTTCAGAGACTGTCAGTCTTCACCAGAGGAAAAAGCCTCGTCTTTCTTTCATGGAGTGGCTGTGGTTTCAAACTGCTGACCTTGTGATTAGCAGCCCACTAAGCCACTGAGCTCCTGAATGTAAAACTCTCAAACTCCCAGCCATCCAGTCGATTCTGATGAGGTTTCCTACTATGAAACCCATGAATAGTGACAATCTGGGAAACCCACCAGGGCTATTCTACCCTGTCCTACAGGAAGCCTAGGAATGTAAACCTAGAAACCCACACTTTAAACTGTCATCCTTAGAAGAACGATAGGGGCCGGAGCAGCATTTTCATTCCCCTAAGCAGTATGCTCACTGATCAGAATAGAAGCGCAGAAGCAAACTGCTCAGGTAGAAGCTTTGGTTCTGTTTTGTTTTTTTTTAAAGTTATGTGACTTTGATTGGGGTCCTAGTGGATAATACATCTTCATAATGTGACACTGTTATTATTCTCTATTTTAAAGTGTTATTTTTTTCCAGAGTCAATGCCAGGTCTTTTTCCTAAATCCTTCACTCTGCTAATTGAAAACTATCATAATCATTTTTAATTTAAAATTAACTTATATCCTGACTGGTTTAATCTATTTTCCACAAAGTTTCTCACTTTTAAAAGGTCATCAAAATGCCAACCTCATCTAGGGGGCTGGTCCCAGCCCCAAATACTAAGTGATGCCTGCCCCTCCCCTGAGAAGAATGTATCTCAAA